TCCTTATTTTAAAAAAATAAAATTAAAATCTCTAAAAAAATTGTAAAAATTAGAAATAAATCTAAATATAATAATAATAACAAATTTGAAAATAGTAAAAAATATTAATTGGTTTCTTTTAGAGTGAAATAAATGTTTTTAAAATAAAATTTTGCACAATTAATTAGAAGATAACCGTTTTAATCAACAGACGTCGTAAGGTGCTAATACCTTTCTTACACGTAAATGACTCCCGAGCCCAAATTTGGTTTCAAAGATTTTTTATCAAAAGTTTTTCCAAGGTTTTCTTTAATAAACTTTGGTGGCGACTCCTTGTTATCGCCGTCCCGTCGTAATCCCGGTTACGACAGATGGTGACTCCACTGGGGATATTTTTAAGAGTCAAACCTAATCTAATTAAATGTGTAAAAGTTTTAATATTTTTTTTTATTTCACTCATCATTTTGTTTGTGTATTTCTTTTATTTTATTTATTGTTAAGTTTATTTTTGTAAATATCTTGTTACTATTATTTCTCTTGCTATATTGTGAATCGTAGGGTAAATGACTTTTGTACATTTTTCGGTATTTGTTAGTTTGTGTTAGATTGGTAGTTAATAGGATAAAAACTTGTATGCTCTATGCACACACATCACTAATACTTATCTCACACATATTTGAGCTTTATACCCAAGCCTATGCTAGCCTAGGAGTAGAAGGTGCCTTAACAACTATTATTGAGGGGCTTTATGCTCACTTGGTAGTTGTTGAGTTACCACTTAGGTTGTTACTAGCATATTAACTTACTCATATTGAGAGGACACGTCCCTACTTATGACTAAGTCATGAGCTAGGTCCTTATTATTTAATAGGGGCAATCTGGGAGCCATACAAGACCAGAGGAATCTAGATCTATCTATGAAATCATGCACCAACAAAAGGACATATTGAACTCCAAAAATTAGAGTTTTTACCATAGAAATGTAGAAAAATTAAAATAAATAAAAATAAAATATATTTTCTTTACAAAATTTATCCTGTTCCTTCATTTGTTTAAATTCACATTCATAATTATTCATCCTACACGTTTTGTACAAAAAAAAAATGATTCATGCATTTGCATATACAAAAAAATTGATTTATACAAAAATAAAATATTCATGAATTCGTATATATAAAAAAAAAATATTTATCCATTAGCATATACAAAAAGAATTAATTCATACAAAAATAAAATATTCATGAATTCGTATATACAAAAAAAAAAGTATTTGTTCATTCACATATAAAAATGATTCATGCATTCGTATATAAAAAAAATAATTAATGCATTCACATATAAAAAAATGATTCATGCATTTACATATACAAAAAAAAAATGATTCATGAATTCGCATAAAAATATGATCCAGACATTCGTCATTATTTAAGTAGGTGAGCTCAAAGAAATTTGTATAAAAATATTTGAAAAATAATGAATTTGTAACATAAAGTGCTTTAAAGAGAACATTTTTAATGCTCTCTTGTGAACTAAATATAACTTTGGATTTTTAGAATTAATTGGTATATTTGATAATTTACTTCTCTCCTTACCCTCTTTACTTTAGCTAACCTTTCTTACAGGTATGACAAATTGAAAATTTTTATTCTATGAAAATTTGTTTGAAAACAATTCACACTCGGTAAACCGTTCAAAAAATGTTTAACCATCTTTTATATGTATTTGTGTTTTCTCTGTTTTATTTTTATTTTTTTCAATTATCTTTTTTTATCAAAATTCACTAATGAAAATATAAATTTCACTCAAAATAATATATCTTATAATTTTCCATTTCCAAATCCTTACCTTGCGTGTTATTTAGTGTTTCAAATTCTATCATGTTTTCACTATAAGTTTTGCCTATAAGCTCTTAAAATTAATTCATAACCCAAATCTATCGCAAATCCCAAATAATTTTTTCTCAAACATCTGATACAATTATTCAATTATTCCATGCATTGCCAAAATAAAAAATATTTTCTAAACTGTTCATTTGTAATAATCTATTATTAACTTTTATATTCTTAAAATGGTGGATACATAGAGACACTAAGATTCAAAGTTTTTTGAGAAAAAAGAAAAAACATTACCTATTTCAAGTAGTTTTCATTAACCATAAAAAGGTGATATTTATTAATTTTTTAATTAAAGTCATTCATTGAAGAAGTAATACACATTCTGCACTTAAAACTCATTGCATTATGTAATAAGTATAAATTTATCTTTCTTACACTGCATATATTCTTTATTAAAAGTAATCGTGTTTACGACAGTAGAAGATACTAAAATTCAAACTCAAGATTAATTGACTTAATTTAAATTTGAGAGTGAAATTAAATAATTTTGTTTCAATTGATCTTGGTAGTAATACATTAGTATGTTCCTGTAGTATTGCCACGTAGCAGGCGAAATACGAGAGTGAGCTTGGAACATCCAATGAGTGAGAAATGTGATAGAATTATAGGATAACACTGAAAATAGGTATAGATTTCTGTACAAGAGGATCCATACCCAAACATTAATAAAGTAATTTAAAATAAAAATTACTAAAATGAAAATCTTAAACTTTAGTATGAAATTTTAAAATAAATCATTCATTCTATTTTTACAAATTTCATTTTTTATTTTGTTTTCATCATACTTAAAAAAGGAATAATATATATAAAATATTACTTTGTATTTAATTATTTAAATATTTATTTCATATTATATTCAATCTGGATAATTGTTTTAAATTATTTTATTCTTGGTAAACGAAAATGTACTGCAATAAAGTAGACAACAATTGATCCATGCCCCTCTAACACCTCATAGCATTTTTAGGACTATCGAGGTTTTATCATTTATATAAAATAATTTTCTCGTAAAATGTTTCTTCTGTTCTAATTAGTTTTAAATATAAAAATAATTTTTTAGTATATTGATATTTAAGCTAAATTCATGAACTCAATTTGGTTATTGTTTTCTATTTTTAAAAATACTCTAAGCCATGAATTATAAATTGTTATGATTCAAAAATCTAATAAATTGATTTAAAAAAAAATTGTTCTAAGAAACAAATGATCCCTTTTTCACTTTTTTTATAAATGCATTTCTAGACATAGTAAATTATGTGGTACCCATAAAAAAATTTTAGTATACTGTATATGAAAATTTTAACTAGTAATATTTAGAAACAATGTTTAAATAATAAATTATTATATTTATTATATTTGAATAACTTAAAGAGTATTTAAGTCAAAACTAAATAAATTAAAATTTAAAAATAAAATAATAATATTATATTAATATATTTTTATACTCTTAATTTTATTATTATTAATATTTAATTATTAAATTAATATATTATTTATAACTTTATTTTTATAATAAATATAAATTACTTAAATATGAATTTATTTTATTCAAAACTAAAACTTTATAAAAAATAATATAAAAATATAATAAGAAATTTAATATATATATATATATATATAAAGACTATGCAGCAAATAATATAAATAATATAATTTTAAATAAATTATATATAATAATAGTTTTTTAACTTGTTATGTGTCTCTTTTTTATTGGTATAAATTATTTGATATGATACTCAAAAAAAATTTTGAGTAGCACATCACACACATCTTACTTTATGGTAACTTCGTCTCTTTATTTTTCTTATTATTCTACTCTTTTTTATTATCTCTTTAATTAGGCAATGAAGACTATTTACGTGTTGTACTTCTCACTCTATTTTAAAATTTAAAATTTACTTTCTTCATGTATTTTGCTTTTTAAGAGTGATTCTATTTTAACCATTCTTTTATGTCAACTTCTAAGAGCAGTTACTTTGTAATTTAAGAGCGGTTCTCAAATAACTGTCTTCTAAAGTGTATTTCTAAGAGTGGTTTTTCCTTAACCACTATCTAAGTATAGGAAAATTTTTAAATTTTTTATTAAAACTGACAATGTTTCAAAATTTAGTATACCTAATAACAATATTTCTGCTTATAAACAATGCAAACAGAATAAACATGTATAATATGAAAGCATTCCACAATATGAAAGTACAAATCCAATCAGCATATAAACGAATATCCCAAACTAAAAGAACAATACAACAAAAATGCATCTGCATGTACTGTAAACAATTACACATAAACACTAGGACAAAAACAATCTATATACTTGTTGCCTTAGGCAAATTACAAAAATCACAAATGATGTGAAAAAAAAATGCACTAAAAATCTATTGTTCTTAATGTGTCCTTTAAATATCTATGGTACATATATGCACACTACTCCTTTTGCACTTGATGAATTCTCTCATCAAGAAATGTTAGGATATAGAAATCTGAAAAATTTTGTAGACAAAACAACAAAACACAAAGGTTAGTTAAGTTAAATTTAAACTAAATAGCAAAGACTTAATATTAAGAAATAGAAATGATCCTCTTACATTATATGAAATTGTAGTTTGGCCATGGTGCAAAGCATCTCTAATGAATAGACACACATAAAATGTAAAGTCATTGTTATTTGATTGTTTTGGACATTATGTGGAGGAAAAAAACATAAAAATCAGAATTAACATAGATTTATATACATTGTTATAAGTTTAAAGTAAAAAGAGTTTTTGTATCATATATATATCTGTACAGTAACTCATCTTGTTTGATTCATCTTTGTCCTAAAGGGCTGCACTTGCCTCTCTACTTGATATGTGACAAAAACGCTAATAATAGTGGATGAATCAAGTAAATTACATTTCAACAACCATTTATGCAAGATAGACTATTGAAATGCATGCATACTTACTTATTGAACAGGTTCTGCATATGTATTCTATTCTTTAGTGGTTTGATAAAGAATCTATATAATACATTGTTTCATCATAGGTGTTTATGGTAATTAAGAGCTAATGTTCCCTATCAATATCAAAATTATATGTTTGAGATTACAAACTTAATAAAACAAATATGGATGCTCATAATAATGACTTACCCAACACTGTAAGGTGCAAAAACCAAGTGATCTTCATCCATATGACGCTTCCATGTTTCAGCTATATGTTGATATGGGTTCGGATTGAGCTTTTCATCCATTTCATACAGAGATATAAATGAAAATTTACTTGCCTTATTTGTCTCATGCAAGTAAGCCTCACACAAATATCTTGTAGTGCAAAAGAAGAATTGAAATGCATTAAATAAGGAATTGAACATAAAATATATCCACTTCCTATAATTACACAAATCGAAAAAAATAATTACCTAATGTAAAGGTTGATGCTGGAGGCACTCAACCAATGTTGTTGTATGACCTCCCATATGTTTTCCTTCCCCACTATGTCATAAAATTCCTTTCCCTAATGCTCAGCTGTCAAATGAATTGTAGCAATATCAATGTCTTGTGAGCTCTTCACAAAAAGCTTTATTATATTGAAACATGCAGCACATTGGACTTGTCTAACTCATAAACCTCTGATGAATTACAAACAACACCTTTATTATATGGACCAACAATGGATTCCTTAGTGAAGCCTGTCTCTTTCCTTAACCCTTTACTTGATGATGGGGCAACCTGAAATATATCAAAGTTTGATTATGAAATGTAACATTTATAAATTATGCATCCAGTTTGAGAATCTGTAAAGAAATTTGCCAACATACTTTGGGTCGTAAAGTGATTAGGGACAATGGCCAAGCAACATAAGTACCAATTGCATCTCTCAAGTAAATGAGGTTGGCTTGTTCATTTAGGACGAAGAGTGCAGTCTTTTTCTCATGTCGTTGCACTACCTCAATTGAAACCTTAGCATACAATCATTATCACCCTAGAGAGACAAAAAATTAATATTCACATGTAATTTAATCATATGAAGTTAACAGTAATCTAAAAGGTAAAATAACAAATGTTTATAAGTACCTCTGGAATCTCAATAGATGCAACTGGTGTACAACTGCCTCTATAGGTGTTACAAGTTGCATCAAAAGGCATTTCAACACCTACCTCCACCATTGGATGCATTTCAAGAGGAATATTGTAAGGTGATGGCATTGAACCAGGCATGAATGGAGGCAGTCCTTGACCCCTGTTAACTGGGCCATAACACTTGTCAAATGCGCTATTTGTTGCTTCATGTTCTGCCACTCGGTAGATGATGGGTGTGGTTTAATTTAATTTTCAATAAATAAATTTTAAAAAATGGGAATAATAAAACTTTTCATTAAAGTGGTTTCCAATGTATGAGTTCAACAAAATAATTTCAAAATAAGGATGAATTACATGTTTGTATCAATGATTGCTACAGGACTAATTTTAAATATATTCTAAAATAACTTTCTAGCCTTATAGCAGTTCCATCTATCCTTTCACTGAGTCTGGTGCTGATTGTCTTAATCACTTAAAAAATAAATGTAAAAACAAGCATAGAGACTCACCTTGCACACTCCACACATTTTCTGGTATAACTCAAATCAAGCATCAACAAACAAAGGTAACACTTTTCAAATATTTCATTTCAATTCACAAACAAGTACACTCACTGCACCAACAAACATTTCACATACACGTGCGCTCATTGCACATAGTCACGCTCACTGTGGCACTGTGATCATAGTTTTCCTGCTGCCCTCAACCTCAGGAACTTACTCAGTTTTACACCATGGATGATCGTCTGATAGCCCCCGTTTCACGGATACAACATATGTGATCACGAGTTCCTTGGCAAAGGTGTTAGTCAAAGGCCAAGTCAGGCGGAGAGCGTGTGGCCTGTCGTGCACCCACGCTCACTATCGGTGTCACCACTACCCTTTCTTTCCCAAGGTATTTCTACTGCCTCTATCTTCCACACCCCTAGTGTATCACTGAACCATTCATAGTTTTCCACATTTCAAACACAATCACAATCGACATGCCATTTCCACACATATTCAACCATTTCATATCGTTCATCATCAACAAATGGCCTGCAATCACAACAATTACTCACATTGTCAATCACGTCATTACATTCAATTTCACACATGACACGTATACTCACATTCAATTACATTACACTTCAACACCAATCCTCGCCAAGATTCCATCACAGTATTACATTACACATACTATACACAATACCACTCACATTGCATTTCACATAAAGTTTCTACTACACCCAGTTATAATCAAATTAATTTCATTCCAATACACGTCTCTCTATGTTCTATTTCCATCACATTGCAATACACAACAAATTACACAATTTCAAAATACAATGAGATAGAGTAGAGTCCTCCCTTACCTCGGATTGAAGACCCAATACAATAAGACAGTATTGTGAAATATTGTCAACTAGTTAATGAAAGTAATTATATGCCTAATATACATTTTTTGTTAAGTACACATGTTGGTCTTGGGTTATCCCTATTTCCATTTTATTAAGTGTAAATAACTACCTTAGTCTTAACTTGTAAACTTCTCTCGTTTTGTTTTGTTTTTAATATATTTAAAATCTCATTTTAAATTTTAACTTGTTGAGATGTTTATCACATTAATCCTAATAATCGGTCTACATTTTTAAAAACTAATTTAACTGTTGACTTGACACTTTGTAAAAATGCCAACTAATATAAGGACTCATAACAGTGTCTTTTGCATGTTAAGAAGGAAATTATCAATAAAATTTTGTTTAGATTCAACCCTTTCACAAAATTTTATTTTTCAAAATCCATTGACATTCATAATTTGACCTTCAAGACAAAAGAAGGTTGATGAATGGATCATAGCACTAAAAATGAATGCAAACAAAGTAATGCATTTTTCATAGACGATGCATATTATAACGGGAAGTAGGGTATGATTTGTTTTTTTTTCTTGACAGACCACATTCTATGGTTATCCCAAATGCTTGGTATTGACACTAATTACGTATAGTTTTTTTTTTTAATTGACATCGAGTTTTTTTTTTTTCACTTAACCAATGTGATTTTGTTTGTAGAGTAATCAATATTGTAGATAGTTTTGTATGTTATATTGACACAAAAGATAATGATACTCATAGATAAGGCATGGAAAACGTGGTAACACCTTGAAAGAATAAAAGCTTTTTTTAAAAATAATATTGTTTGGAAGATTAAAAACTTGGAGAATGAAATTAGGACCTTAAATTTATTTAGAAAATATATTGCAATTCTTATTGTCACCATAATCTAGGTCTTAGTATATTTAGCAAAGTAATGTATAAGTAAAACTTTGCAATTGGAATTTTTAAAATATGGTGTTTATAATGTTTATGATATGAAATCAATGAAAATTAAGATCTTTTGGGCCAATTGTCATAAGTGCGTTATCTCTAATTCTAAATTTGTAGGAAATGAAAAATAAAACGTAAACATAATCTATTGAAAAATGAAACTAAAACTTTATTCATTCCATTAAGGATTGATGATAAATGGAGTTTATTACATCGATGTCATTGTAAATATTTACATTGATTAAAAAATAATTAATTAATTGTAGTTAAGCTTTGTGATGAATGAATGTTATTCTACATTAAGCGGCAACATTTGGTGGATTTTACACTTAACCATTCAGAAAATTTCACTTCTCTGCTAACTGAAAAGCGATATTAATTATCTGATATTTCTTACATGTCTAAATGAGCATTTAATATCTGAAGTTGATATTCAATATTGTGTTATGTGAGTAATTTAATTAAGTTTCATTAACATTAATTAATTATAAGAACTAATTAATATATCAATTGTTTCACCAGACTAGTAATTAAAATGACGTTTTATTCAAGTTAGGCACTAAAACAGTAATTTGATTTTGTTTAAAGTTTATTTTCTTGTCAGGAGAAAATTTATATCCTTTCTATTTTAAAAAAGACAACAAGAATTTAGTTGAAATTCGGGAGTTAACATTGTCATCTTTAGTTCGTAAAAGTAGAGATTTATGAATCTATGTTGGCAAGAATAAGAAATATCAGTGTATAAATTTGCGATTTTATCTCATCTTTTTTCATGTCGAAGAATGCCCACTAAAATAGGGTTTTGTGTTGCGTGAAAAAGAAAAAAGATCACCAATCACAAAGTGTAACCTATGGTGCATGCCCGCTGCAAGTTGTGGCATGCCAACATTTCATTACAACACAAATGAACACTAAAGCTATAAAGATCCAAAGGTAAAATATTTTTATATAACATTTTGTCAAGTCCAATTTTGGAAGCTTTTATTACTTTTTCCTTGATGCAAATGAACATTAAAAGTTTTGTAGTTCGAATTCTGTAACATTTTACCTTCATTATTTTCCTTAGTGGAGACCCTAAAAGGGGTTATACTTTTAGTGTGAAGAAGTATCTACTCAGAATATTCCCAATTAAAGTAAATTTTTAATGCAAATTAATTGCGGTAGGGAAAAGCTCTTACATCATCGATCTACTTGAGTAATAAGTTGTGGAACAAAATGCAAGACCCCCGATTATTGCTTCTGCATGCTAGCTCATCTTCCACAACCCATAATTAAGAGCCCCCAACTTGTGCTCTAGTTCATATTATGGAACTTTTTTCTTTTCTTTTCGAAATACAGTTAAAGAATTCAAATAAGAAAATGTACCACTTAGCATGATTCGTCGATATATTTTTATTGTGATTTTTAATGTATTTCAATATATTTTTTAATTTTCTTTTTCATATTTTGATCCTTTAAAATGGACTTTCATAAATTATCTTTAACAAGTTTTCATTTTCTTTTATTGTGCTATTATGTTGGTGTACGCAATGACAATTTCAATAATGTTCATTACGCACTATTGTATACGTGTATGTTACATCAGAGACACCTCTCATATTGAAAAACAATCGTGGCTCTTGCAATGCCATGATTAATGTCAAAGTGGTTTATACAAAAATGTTTTTGATTTTGCATTTCATATATATCTTGTGTTTCCGAACAGTGCCAACCTATAACGATTATCACAAGCTGCTTTTGAAATTGCTTATAGCTTTTATTTTAACTTAGGTACTTTATGTTGTGTTCAATTAATTTGAACACAGTTCAAATTTTGTTGATAATTTTGAAGATGGTAGCAAGTTTCAACCATATCCTACCAACTATAGGCAACTCATCGTAATCTGCTAGGAACCGCGTACTGATTCGTGCGTACACACGTTATCATCACGCACACGCATACATGCGCAGATACTAATTAATCTATTGTAATATTATGCGTTGATTGACATGCATATTAATTAAGTTTTAACTAAATTAAACTAAAAATAGTTATCTTTAAAACATTCAACGCATATAAGAAAAAACAAAGTTAAAATTTAAATTTTTACCGTCAACTAAGTAATATACACTATGAATATTAATTTTTATATAATGAGTACATAACAGGTAAAAGATTCTCACGCTGTTAATGTACTTAAATAATTAAAAATAATTAGAATTATGTATAAACTAAATTTGATTGAGTTAAAAGTGGATACCAGAAAGTACAGAAAAAAAAAGCGAGTTAATAAAATATAATAACAAGCTTTAGTTCGTAAAGTCTAAAACGTTTCATCTTTTTTAATGAATTTAATTGTAATACACTTACAGTGTGATTTTTTATTCTTCATCTAGTTGTAAATAATATCAACAAAAAATATTAATTTATATGTGATATGTATATAAAAGCCAAAAGGCATTGTTTTTACAATAATTATTCCACAACAATTCGCACTGATGCCATAATATTAATTTTTGTTATTTGCATTAAGTGCCCGGAAATAAATAAATAAAAAAAAGATAATTTTCAGAATGCAAAATGATGAAGCTGACATATCATTCGATTCCACGTTAAGCATCCATCGTCTGTGTACCAATTTCTTCAAGTGCTTTCAAATTATTGGTTGATTTCGCCCCAGTGATAGCAATCACACTTATACAAGTCACGCGGTTAAACAAAATCCATATACCAATAGAAAAGATAAATGCATGATACATGAAATATGTGAAATTTTAAATCTGAAGTGAACTCATTCTATAACTCAGGTTTGGAGGATTTAATAATCTTCCTCCTAAATATAAGAATTTCTTT